GGTTTACGATAATCGTGGTCCGATATTCTTGTATCGCGGTTTACGATAATCGTGGTCCGATATTCTTGTATCGCGGTTTACGATAATCGTGGTCCGATATTCTTGTATCACGGTTTACGATAATCGTGGTCCGATATTCTTGTATCGCGGTTTACGATAATCGTGGTCCGATATTCTTGTATCGCGGTTTACGATAATCATGGTCCTGATATTCTTGTATCGCGGTTTACGATAATCGTGGTCCGATATTCTTGTATCGCGGCTTACGATGAGCGTGAGGCTACTAATGAATAATCTGACTGACAGATTAAAGCAGCTATTTTTAAAAAATCTGATAAATCCTGATGCCTTTACGACGCAGATCGCAGCGCCGTTCGCCGGAACGCATCGTTTCTTCATGTTAAAGTTTTCCTCGCTTACCGTTTTGAGCTCCATGAGAACCTGTTCGTCCACGCCTTCGTCCAGGAACAGCTCGCGAACTTCATTAATCACATCCTCCATCACAGTCTTATACAGTTTAGGCTGGAATGCAGATGGGACAGGTGAATAAACACTGACAGGTACAGAGATTAAAAAATAAATAAATAAAATATATTCTCTCATTAACCCAGCGCTGCTGAATTCTGGATTCTGATTGGTCAGAAGGTGTTGATTAATTTTCTATAAACAGCAGATCTGAATATTAACGGACTCGTTCTAATAAGTTATCGTTTCTATAGTAACGGCGCATTCGCGGGGACATTTACGGGAAGACATTTTATGGAAGGAGCCTCCAGTGTCGGCGCTTTGTAACAGTCAGAGGTAAAGCCGTAACTTCACGAGGATGTTCCATTGTCGTTGACAATGACAAACTTTGAAATGTAACTAGAAACGGATAAAATATAACATCATTCTTCTACATTCTTCCGATATTCTTGTAGCACGGTTTACGATAAGTGTGATTCAATCTTTACTATTTATCCACGTTGTCGCATTAAGAGACTCGTATACGTTAAATTTCTCTCTAGCATAAACGCACAGAGTTTCTATAAGACGCGTTATCACGGCCGCTGGACCAGCGCTTAGCATCGCTGACAGGACAATAATATCGAACCACGCTTATCGTAAACCGTGATACAAAAATATCGAACCACACTTATCGTAAACCGTGATACAGAAATATCGAACCACACTTATCGTAAACCGTGATACAGAAATATCGAACCACACTTATCACTTTACTATTTATCCACGGTGCGATATTCTTGTATCACGGTTTACGATATTTTTGCAATCTAACATTTAAAATAAATAAATAAAAACACATTTAAATCTGAATATAAAGCCAATGCTATTTAAAGCTAACGCTCCGCGTGCACGCGCGAGCCCATGCAGCTCTATTTAAAGCGCGTGCAGGAGGGGGGTTTATATGGCGCGTGAGCGTGTGACGTGGCGCGTGTAACTCCTTCCCATCTTCCCGGAGTCTATATTAGACACTGTGTATGTGTGTAAAAGCAGCCTGCGGAAAGGAGGAGACACACACACACTCACACACACACTCTGAAGACACACACACACACACATCATTACGGATCTACTGCTGCTCCCGATTTTATTTCATTCTTGGTTAAAAAATAAAATCGTGATGGGTTTTTTTTTCTGATATTTTGGCTGCATTCGAGGAAAACAAACATGGCGGCGGTTCAGTTACAGCCACCAACATGGCGCAAAGTGCACCTTAACTACAACCAAATCCCCTACATTTCTGCTCCAGCTTCCTTATTTCTTTCTTTTGACAATTATATATATTATTTTAAAACAAAAGGGAGGTCTATTAAGTAGTTTTAATGCCGAAAATCAGGTTATAATGTTTTATTTACGCAATCTAGCTCCTTAAAGCCGCCCAAAACATTACACTTGACTCAACAACCTCCATAATCTTATAAAATAGTAATGATAAATCAATAATAATTATGTATTTCTGCACGATAACACGCAGTAAATTGAATTAGATTAAATGGAGATAGAACAGCTGCTTTCCAGAAAGAGACGTTTAAAATGGCCGATTGATTTCGTGTGGCTAACCGTGTTTTATTAATATTAATGGGAGTACCAAGAATTGTTTTTGAGTTTAATTAGAAAAAAAACACCACTGAGACTCTGACTACCATCGGCAATGCTTTGACCATGGATTTCTGTGCTGTTTTTGTCAGTATTCAGCGGCGTGAGTCTGAGATCGGGGTCCTTACCACTGGGTTCGAGTTGGCCGAGCTCGCCATTTTAACTACCGTAGTGTTACAAAAAACAACACACAACAACTACCGAGGAAAATCAACCAGTTTAAGAACTTCAAAAACAGCTAAAATATTTAAAAGTAGTCAACATATGTTCGGAGACAAAAAAAAAAAATTAATAAATAAAGCACCCAGCTGTTTTACGATCTATATAATTATGTCTCAGTCCCGGGGCTGCTCGGTCCCAGCCGTCCTGCTCCCGTCGCCGTTCCGCCTTTATATACCGACCTGAGGATGCGCGAGACCATAGGGCACGGGCAGTAAGCGGGCTTCGCGCCAAGTATCGCGAGATCTACAACTACTCGGCTCTCGTTCTTCCTCCTATCCCTGTCCTCCATTAGGATTGGTCAAGTACGTTCCCGCCCCTAGCGTTCTGATTGGTTATCAATCATTGCTCGCGAGCAGTTCGCTGATTGGACAGTTGAGCAAGTCGTGCGCGTAACCATGGTAACCATAGAAAAGCCTAACCGTTTAACAGCAGCAACAACAATTTAATTATTATTTTTATATTATTATATTATTATATTATATATTTTTTAGTATTGTTACAACAACATCTTTTATATAGTAATCAATATTCTTTAAGAATATGAATACCTTTAGTGTCATTGTACAAGTACAATAAGATTCAGTGTGCAGTTCCCCATCAAGCTATGTACATTTATTAAATAAAAAAATAGAAGAAAATATGAAAAAATAAAACTATATATATATACACACACACACACACACAAGAAAAGTACAAATATGTGCAATACACAGGTAAAAGCAGCAGTGCTCATTATTACTATTATTGTATTTTCTTTTGTTGTAAAATTAAACTGGTGATGTATAAAACACACATTAGGCATTTTCATAAAGTTTAATAGTGCTCTGTAAAACTCTAATAATGTGTTATAAATGAAATAATTCCATAATAATTATTCATAATCATAAGTTCATAACTGTCCATTATAATGTGTCATAACAACTATAAATTCAACCATGATGAACATTTATTTAAAAAAAAATAATAATAATTTTAAAAAATAACATTAAAAGCATTTAAAATGCCATCCTTTAGTGGATCAAGTAAATGAATATGTTAAAATATTCCACATTATAGTACCTTGAAATATATAACTTCTTTAATAAATAAGGTTATTTTGTTAAACTTTTGTAATAAATAATTAGGAAGAAATAATAAAATTTGAAGCACCTACTAAATGTCAGAGAGACTGGAAGGTGTCTCAGGTGCTGCATATGTATGTCTTTCTTATTTCTGATGTTTTGGAAATAATTTTTTGTAACTTGCCTTTATTATTAATATTAATAATATTAATATATTTATAAATATATGTTTTAACACTTTCTTATAATTTTCTTATAATTCTTATAAGACTGAACAGCATTTTCTATACGTAAACAGGCTACCGTAAAACGTAATGCACGCATGCAGAAATATTCTGAAGAGCAGATGGAGTGACTGCAGTGCAGGAGAGCAAAGCAAACAAACAGCATTTTAAAATCACTGTGCAATTATAACTGCCATCAATATTAGCTGTAAAATGGTAGATTTTACAGTTTGTTCTGGTTACAGGCCATGATCAAACTGAGCGTACAAGCGAGATGCATAACCACTATATGATCCCGGCTCGACACGCCTTGGCCATTAAGGCAGCTTTTATGCTGCCAGAAATCCATGGCACGCACCGGTACACGTTCAGCCTGGGGTAGTGAGATATGGCTTCATTCTGCTTTCCCACTGGCAACCTTCACAAGCCTGCATAGCTTTGAGGGAACAAACAAACAACTTCCCCACTGGAGAAGGGCTGTGAGATACAAACAATAGCCAAAGTACAAGAAAAGGCTGTGCCGTGACGCAGATTCGAACCAGGTTTGCTGTGGCCACAACGCAGAGTACTAACCACTACACGATCATGGCTCCACAGTGAAGAAACTTGCTACGAAGGCTGAAAAACATTTCGTGGATGATGCATGGGATGGCCTGGGCTAGTGAAATACAGCTTCATGTCACTTTCTCACTGGCAACTTCCATAAACCTGCACAGCTACAAGGGAACTATGGGTCTATGGGCCAGAAACAGCCCGGGTAAGGAGAAGAGCACTTTTTGAGTTGGACAGGCTGTAGTTTGACCTCTGTGTGGAGCGAAGTGACACAACGTGTGTCCAAGTAGGGTGACCCATACTCAGAATTTGTGCTCTGCATTTAACACATCCAAGAGCGCACGCGCGCGCGC